TTGAAGTTCTTGACTTCTCACCAAATACATTTAACTCCGTTGTTTATATCTAATCGTATTATTTGCTTTATATACACATCAATTGTTGGATATTACTATATCCATTCATACATTGCTCGAACGCTTCATCTTCTTCCCGATTCCTCCCTATCTAACCTTCCATTTTTACCCCCTACTGGAATTAGGGTTTTTTCTCTTTTCGAGTTTAAAATGGGTCCTTTGTTTAAAGAATGCTAGTGTTGTTGCAGAATCCCATCATTTTTTGCCCAGTTTCCTGAGTTGTCTTCTAAGAAACAGCAGCCATGTCCACACTTGTTAATCGCAGTGGTAAATTCTTCAATATTTTCCTTCTCTTTAGGATATCTTATGCTCAAATATATTTGCCTGTTGGAGTTTTGGCTGATTTGTTACAGGGCTCATCTGGTTTTTATTCTGCTTTTAGCTGATTCTGATTTCCAAATCGGTCCGAAGGAGTTGCTTGATTCTTTTGAGGATTCTAGTGAATCAAGTAGTTGATTGATTCTGAAAATTATATTCTCGTCCACAGAATCACCAATTGATTATTGTCGGAATCTGAGAATTAAACTACGTACTTGATTTACTAAGAATCAAAATGAGCTGAAAAATCACATCCAAATGAGCCCATATATAAAAAGTGTTTGCCATTCAAATTTCCTGGTTTTTAATCAGTTTAATCTGATTTTTCGAATTCAATTTTAAGTTATTTAGTTAAGGTTTTGATTGTTACAATGCTGTTGTTACCAGGTGATGATGAGTTCTACATAGGGAGTTCATTATGTTCTGCAGAATTGGGGGTAATCCTATCTCTTGGTTATGCTGATGTTTACTGCACAAAGAAACCATCAATTGATGTTCTGCCTGATGAGTGCTTGTTTGAGATCTTTAGACGCTTGCCTGGCGGTCGGGAAAGGAGTGCCTCTGCTTGTGTCTCCAAGCGCTGGCTCATGCTCTTGAGCAGTGTCCGTACTTCAGAAATATGTGGGAGACATGATGATCTATTTGCAGACAAAGGTTCTGAAATAGGGCATGATGGACACCTAACAAGATTTGTCGAAGGAGAAAAAGCTACGGATATTAGACTTGCTGCCATTGCAATTGGAACTTCTCGCCGTGGGGGACTTGGCAAGCTTTCTGTCCGAGGGAGGAACTCTGACTCTGGTATCACTAGCACTGGTCTATCAGCAATTGCACGAGGTTGTCCTGACCTCAAGGCACTCTCCCTATGGAATGTGCCTTCTGCTGGAGATGAAGGTCTTTTTGAGATTTCAAAGGAATGTCACTCCTTGGAGAAGCTTGATCTATGCCACTGTCCTTCAATTTCAAGTAAAGGCCTCGTTGCAATTGCAGAAAGATGTCCTGGTCTAACTTCGTTAACTATCGAATCTTGCCCAAATATAGGGAATGAGGGACTCCAAGCTATTGGAAGACATTGTACTTTATTGCAGATGGTAACCATTAAGGACTGCCCTCTAGTTGGAGACCAGGGTGTTGCAACTCTTATGTCGTTGAGTCCTGTCCTAACAAGAGTGAAACTTCGTGGTTTAAAGATCACAGATTTTTCACTTGCTGTCATAGGACATTACGGGAAGGCAATTACCTCTCTTGCCCTTGGCTCACTCTATAATGTGAGCGAAAAGGGCTTTTGGGTCATGGGCAATGCTCAAGGTCTGAAGACTCTGGCTTCTTTGACAATCACATCATGTAGAGGAACTACAGATGTCAGCCTCGACGCTTTGGGGAAGGGCTGTCCAAATCTGAAACAGATGTGCCTACGCAAGTGTTGCTTTGTGTCTGATCATGGGCTGGTGGGATTCACCAATGCTGCTGCTGGAACCCTTGAAAGCTTGCAGCTTGAAGAATGCAACCGGATCACCCAACACGGCGTTCTCAATGCAGTCTCAAACTGCCACAAGTTAAAGTCACTTACTCTGGTAAAATGTATCAGCATAAAGGATCTAACCACAGACACTTCCTTGCTGCTGCCTCCATGTAAATCTCTTAAATCACTGTCCATCCGAAACTGTCCTGGTTTTGGCAGCACAAACTTAGTTATGGTTGGTAAGCTTTGTCCGCAGTTACTTCAGTTGGATCTGAGCGGGCTTTGTGGAATTACGGATTCCACCCTTGTGTCTCTTCTGGAGAGCTCTGTGGCAGGACTTGTCAAGGTCAACCTCAGTGGCTGCCTGAATCTTTCAGATGAAGTCGTGTTTGCCCTGTCCAGGTTGCACGGCCAGACTCTGAAAGTACTAAATCTTGATGGCTGCAGGAAGATCACCAATTCTAGCTTAGTGGCACTGGCTGACAGCTGTCCTTTTCTTAATGATCTCGACGTTTCAAAATGTTCAATAACTGATTCCGGCATATGTGCTTTGTCACGTGGTGTACAAGTAAATATGGAGATTCTTTCCCTCTCGGGCTGCTCTATGCTGTCAAGCAAGAGTGTTTCTTTCCTTGGAAAATTGGGAAAAAGTCTGCTTGGCTTGAATCTCCAGCAATGTAGTGGCATCAGTAGCAGTGCAATCGAACTATTGGTGGAGAAGTTGTGGAGGTGTGATATCCTCTCTTAAGCACATGGCAGTATATAAAAAGGGTTCTTCGCGGGCTATATTTGTACAAACCGTATCCCATCAAGCCCGGTTCACAATTCGTCAGTTGCTGAGTTAGTTGTATTCATTCATGAAGCTCTGGCAGAAATTTGTCCACATATATATCTTTTTTGCAGGCCTGTAAGAATGCCTGTTAGAACTCTTATGGTTCTTCTATATATATGTGGATGCTGCCTCCTTCACAATCACCATCAAGTCCTTTTTAATATACAGAGTAGTTCCGTGTTGGTCTATGCTTCCTTCGATTTGCCATGGCAGCAAACGGTGTCGGGTTAATTGCCATGACAACCTTTTTTAAGATTGTTCTTTTTTCCTGGTCTTTGTTTTTGATAGGGCAAAAAGCCCTACTTTTGGAGGTCCCTTGCTTCTTGTATTGTAATGTGCATCAAGTTCTTAATACTGTAAATATTTCCTTATTCAGTTCATAAAGACCGAGTTCTCCTCGTCCCTTAAACGCATTTGAACTATTTACACCCAAACTTGAGGGCTCCCGGTCCTGCACGTAAAACACGGGTGGACGGCTTTATTCATCAGGTCTTTCATGTCTGTCAATATGCTTCTCTATAGTAAGTCCCATTAAGGTGGCATTCCCAGAATATCATCTTTGAAGAATATGGAAAAATATATTACTCATATTTCTTACTTGACTCCGTTAATAGTTTGTCCATTAGATGATCTTTTTCCATTTTTACGTTGCCAGCAACTTCACAAAAACACCCCGCAACATTAGTACATTCTCCCAACTAAAAAGATGTATTTTTTTTTACATAAATAGGACTAAAACATAATGACTTTCTTAATATAGGATCATATATTTTTATTTCCCAATGTAGGACCATTGTACATTATTTATTAGTCATTATTCAAGTAAATGTCCACCATCACTGGACGGTTGGTCCGTACCATCACCACACATGATAGTGGTTTTATCTTGGGAGGAGAGTGCCCATGTTTTTTCCTGTACGCTACGGTAGTCACGCACTACTACCTCCTTAAGGATAGCTCCGGTGACTCCACTGCCCTTCACGGTGTTTGGTTTTGCAGGTATAGTTAATAACGACCTCGCTGCATTCTACCCTAGGCCGTAATGTCTTCACTGGTATTCTGTTTGTAGCCATAATGACCTCGCCACTGCTCCAGTGACCTCGATACCTCTCATAGTGACTGCATCCCTGACTTATTGCCTCAGCCCGTGCACATTGTCCATGTAGTCTAGTGCATAATGTTCACATACAACATGGACGTTTGAAGATCCAGAAAGTCATTATTTTCTGTTTTATTTTTGTCATATTATGAGTAAAATATAAATTTAGAATACATTGTAATCCGTACGTAATTTGTAATATAGTATATCATTCATTGCTTTTAGATTTGGAAAATATAGTCCAATAGTCCAATTAAACTAACAATCCCCAACCGTCATCATCTTCGTCGCATCGCATAACATCTAAGCTCATTGTTGCATATCTCGACGAGGCATCTTATTCCACCATCGATGCAGCCATAGTTAGGATTTCCTCTGCAGTTACCGCCACCACCTTTACCTGTCTTCAGTCTGCCTTCGACCTAATTGCCGGTCTCCCCTTTGTCCGTGTGCCTCTCCTTCCTTCGATCTAATTGCCGGTTGCACCGAAAAAATAGTAAAGCTGGCTGTACCAAAAAACTAATACAGCCTGATGTAATGATTTAATCGATTTATCATATTTCTCATGTCGATCATATCGGATATATTTGTACATTCTTGAATATCAATGAATCAAATTATCCATTGAAAATTACTAGAAATATTAGATAATAGGAAATTAATATTATATTTAATTACTTTTTTTATCATGTTATTTTTCTTATTGTATCGTTATCATAGTTATTCTCGTACTATGATTAGAACTCTCTCATTTAATTCCTATAAATAGGAATGTATCTTTCAATATTTAATAAGACCAATTATTATCAAATTGTCCAAAAAATATTTAGTAGGCCAAAAATCATTTATACCAAGCATGGTAATTTGAAATAAAAGATTACATAAAGACAATTCAAGAAAGTATTATAACGGGGTAAGACAAGAAAATACTCCGTAGTATATTACAGAGTACATTATACGCAAAAAAAAGAAAAGAAATTAACAAGAATAATACTCCGTATGCTCTCCGTTGTAGGTGACGTTGATGCATATGAGACCACAGTGTTTGCTTCTTTTCTTTTACCTGCAATAAATAGAAGAATAAAGAACACATTTAATTCAAGGTAACATGTAAATTATTATTACCCAAATCAAACAAGTACATCAAAGTCAAATGCTTAACCATGATAATGGTTACGTGCATATGAAAGAGATTACAAGCCCAACTAATCTAAAGGACAAATATTACAGAACACGAAACATTACGATACACATAGTCGTACAGACAAATTACAACGCAAACAAACATTACAGAGCATGAGTATCAGATCAATTCATTCCTTTTAATTCCTTCCTTTTCTGATTTTCAGTGATTCCTTGGGAGATATCATTCATTGTGAAGTGCAAGCAGGTAGTATTTCATAGCTTCAATTCTAGTGCATTACAAGAGAGACAAATTACCAAAAGAGAGGTATCAAGGTTTCCAACTGTGGGCAATGTGTTCAGCGGGCAGCATCCATTCTCATGCTTAGGCACATGGCATAATGTACTTGTTCAAACATCAAACAAAGGAGTCCAGGAGCAGCATGTAGATAGCAAGACTCAATCCATCCAAAGGAACAGTAGTGTAGGTGATGAGGACCATGACATTGGTCATATCACGCTAGAGAGACAAATCCAAATTACAATCAGAATCCATTCAAGGAGGATCAGCAGTGAGGTTCAGCATTAGAGAGCAGTCCCGTGTTGAGGCAGAAGAAGCATCATCACATATTTGTTTCCTCAAGCAGTTCCAAACTGCAGGTAGGTGTAAGTCCTCAAACAGCATCCAAGTGGGATCCAGCAAGTGTTGTGTGAGTGGTAGCATAAGCAAACAATCCAGAGGTCCAAGCATAAGCTCCAGAGTTCAAAAGCATCCACAGGGTTGGCAAGACTCACACCAAACCTTGGTAAATCAATCTGAGTTCAAAACAAGCACAAGGGGAGGAACCAGGCCATTCTAACCTAACCCATTCACAAAGAACTGACTGGGTTATTTAGTGTGGTCTGTTTCCCAGACAAAGAGAGAAAAGCAAGGAGGAAGCAGAGAAAGAGGGGAGAGGAAGAAAGTAGAAAGAAGGGGAAAGAGGGGAAGCAAACAAAGAAGGAAGATGGGTGTAACCACCCCACCCGGGACCCAATCCAATCCTACCTCTAGTTATCCAGAAGGGATAAAGAGAGGTAGATTTGTTTCCCCACAGACCTAGTGGTAAACCACAAGGAGCCCACCCAGAACAAACCCAGGATCCAGGCCATTCTACCCCTCCCAATCAGAAAGAATAATTGGGTTAGTGCAGTGTGGTCTGATTCCAAGAGAGACAGCAAGAAGGGAGAGGAATGACTTTTGCAAGTTTAACTTTGAGATGTATTACTTACAACCCGATGACTTCCACCAAATAATTAACTTTTCTCGATCAAATACAACCCAATAACCGGTCATGAAGTTGTCTAGAAATATAATTAACATTATAAGCAATCTAATACCGGCAAGATGATATAATGCGATACATCCTTTGTCAATTTTTTGGTCAAATTCATATACATTTTGATCACAAATTATATACTCCCTCCGTCCCCCTAAGATGTTCTCATTTTGACTTTTGGTGGTTTTTAAGGAGAGTTGAAAAAAGGTGAAAGTTTACCATAATACCCTTAATGAAAAATGGATGGAGTGTACTAAATGAGGTGGGTGAGGTGTAATAAATAAAGTAAGTGGGGGTAGTTGTGGTATTTTAATTGTTAAAAAATGAAATGAGAAGATCTATTGTGGACAAAGAAAAAGGGCTATTGGGAAGATCTATAGGAAACGGAGGGAGTATTATTTTAAACAAATAAATAAATTTATAAAAGTTCAATATATTAAAACTGCATTTTAAAATGAAGCCAATTTTGTAAAACCTACTCGTATAATAGGCTTAAAATATTTTTTTCTAAACTGTGGTAAATGTTTGTAAAATTTAATCAAATGAGTTAAAATATAGAAAAATCTATAAGAGAGAATTAAGTAATTTCCAATGGAGTGATTAGAGTCTCAAGATACTTACGCCCGATAATGTTGACTTTGTTGACTTCATCTTTGATAATACCTAAACAGTATATTTCGTCACCCAACTACAATCAAAATAAACGAAACCCTAAATTAGTTTTTTTTCAAAAAAAACTAATACCCCTTTCATGGAAATCACTCTGATCCGACATAAATTTGAAAAACAGTACACGTTCAAAAATCAAAAGTGTATTATTATATTTTGTTGGCATCTATATATCTTACTCCAACAAATACTTCAAAATCTATGGGTGAAGTGGGACTCAAAATAACCAATACACTTCGGTCCTGCAAAAATAAGGAAATGTTACATTGTAGTTTTGATGTGATAGATAAAAGTAAGATATGATTGATAGACTATTAGAGAAAAAGTATGATGTGATCAGGTAGAGTATGAAAAAGTAAGAGTAAAGTAGTTTTTTAATAGAAAGTTGAAATGTTTTGTTGGAAGTGGAAAAATTGAAAGCAGTGTTTTTGAGAACAGGAGTAAAGAAGTTGAATAAATGAGGGCATTGCATTGCATATATCTTCACGTTAATGTTTCCAGTACTAACCTTGCAATATAGCAATATTCAAAAGGAGGAAATGGCATTGGCATTAAAGTCTCATTCACAAAAGAATTAAACTGCATGCATTGTAATTAAGGTTTAAATGAGGTTTTTGTATGAATGTTCGTATGTAAATTGTGATTCTGAGGAAAGTCTTTTTTGAAATCTCAATAGGATATGCCTCACAATAACCCACACACTGACCAACCGCACAGCTCAAACTTGTGCGCGAATTAATGAGTAAATATGACAGACAAAATGTTGTAACACTCACACAAGCACACAAAGCAGAAATAATAAAGAGACTCACAATTTGTTTACGCAGTTTGAAGCTGAATCTCCTACGTCTGCGAGACCCACAATTGTGTAACAGCCCTCCACCAGATCATTGTAAGTCTTACAACAGTCAAACACAAAAGAGACTTCTAGAGTTTTGACAATGGAATACCTACGAATGACCTCAGGTACAAAACTCAGTTTGCACCTGTCTCCTTGGCTTGTTACACCCACACTCTGGTTTCTTCCTAGGACGTGTTGATCAGCCTTATCTTCAAGACATCACAATACTCAACTCCTGGACTTGTGTGTCATCTTGAGGTTGTGAATCATATACTCAGTAAATAGATTCTTAATATCTGATTTCACAAACCAACACTGAACCTCACGCTTAAATAATGAATATTGTGTGATCTTTTGACAATCTGGTCTCTAACTTTTTTTCTGGATCTCTCGTATTTTTCTACACGACCTTTTTCCTTAACAGCGTTCCTGTGGTGTTTAGCCCTAGTATCCAGAACAAAGAAGTCTTGTCACCGCATACCACGGAGAGTGACCCAGATCAGTAAAACACGGAATTCAAGATGTACTCGCGTTCCGACAAACTCCTAAGCTCGTTTTGTATCCTGACGCGTTCCAACTCTTCAGACAATAGGATGATCACTTCAGACTCATGATCACTTCAGACTCCTTGTTATGACAGGGTGCTTCAAACACGAGTAAGATGACACACCTCTATGCTACAACATCTACAAAGACATCTAGTCTACGCTTAACCAATGTGGTTGTGTGTTGTCAAAAAATAATGCCAACCAAAATAGGGAACAAACCAATAACAGAACATGACAGAGCTAACATTTTTCTGATTTGTTGTTAATATTATAATTGATTTTCGAATTCAGATTCTAATTGATTTTCAATATTGGTATACTTTTAATATTTTACTCCTACTTTGAAACAAGATTATTTAGGTAAATTCTCCATATATGAATGCGTGGGAAACTAAGTACTCCATCAATTGAAGAGACTAACCTAAGGCTCGCCCAATCATTTTAAGAGGTCGTGTACAATTAGTAATTTGGGCCTAAAGTATTTTAATAAAAAACAGAAGTTGTAATTTTATTTCATTAAATATAAAATAATAAGAAAATAAAATGTTTCGGCTAAAAAGGTAACGAATAGGTTGGGATGACAAAATAAGAATATACTTTGGTGGACCTAAGGTCTATCATGGACGTACATATGAGTAAAATAAATACTCTCTTCGTCCCTGAGAGGGTTTTCCTTATTGACTTTTTGGGAAATTAAGGGAGAGATATTTTGGTGTTGATTTTCCTAAATAAGGGAAGGAGTTAGTGGGACGAGAAAAAAAAGAAAGGGGAAGGAGTTTAAGGGACGGAGGGAGTATTTCTTTACTGTTTAGATAAGCATCCATTTTTTTAATATAAAAATTTAAAATAGATATTTTATATGAGAAGATCCAAAAAAATAGTGTGCATAAAAGAATCACTTGACAAAATAATGATGCAAATCAAAAAAAAGAAAAAGAGAATGCACGCAAAAAAAATGGACCTTAGCCATCTTAAAATAGTTTACTAGACGTGCACATGAAACAAGATTATGCGAATTAAAGAAATAAAACAAATTAAAGAAGCAAGCCTAGCTATATCAGTTTATTAAGGGAGACGGACCAAAATAGAAGTAAAAGAGATGTCATATCCCAAAAATAGGAGTTGAAACTTAAACTCCCCTAAATAGAAGTAATTAGCTTAACAATGACTCTAAATTTTTAACCCCAAAACCTAAATCAAACGCATAGCAATATGGGATCTTGTGGAGAAAATATTACCCAATTTATAATGACCAGTTAATGAGAATGTCTAATTCGGTACAAAAAATAATAAAAGAATACAAATGATATAAAAACAAGTCAACTACAAGAAAGACATTCACAACTAACCTCTCTGAATTAGTCGCCAGCCTAAAGCAAGAAATAATATGATCTTCCTCTCTAAAGCACTTGTGAATTTAGCAAAAGAAATAAAACACATTAAATTGTCTATATAGTGTCAATAAAGGCACAATGCCAAATATGGCAACATATAATGTCACATATGGCACTGAGCTTAACATTGGTTCAATGCCACATGTAATCATATAATGACAATCATGCCAATGTATAAAGTCATCCATGCGAATGCATAATGCTAAACAAATTAAATAGATAATGCCAACTTTGACATTGTATAATGTCATTCTTGGCAATGTATAATGAAAGATATGTCAATGTATAATTTATATATCACATATGTTATGCATAATCATTCATTTTCTATACCAATTTTACAAAATCTAAATCCCCCTTAAAATTGAATGTCACCTCTTATTTCAAATTGAACATAAAATTGAATTCAAACTTATCCATGGCTGAAAAAATTAGTACCAATTTTACGAAGTAATTTTCTAAGAAGTAAATTTTCATAGATTTAAAATTGAATGTAACCACTTATGTCGAATTGAATATAAAATTGAATTCAAACTCACGCAAGGTGATGGAAGCATCGTCGCTCAGAGGCTAGGCGACGAAAATGGTGGAGAGGGTTGGAAGGAGATCGTCTGTATTGAGAGAAAGGGAGATGGACGGAGTGAGATTGAATCATCGTCACACGGAGATGACGCTTGCGGCAGAGAGGGGTTTGAGATTGGGGGTGAAGGCGACAGCAACTGGGATGGAACGAAGAAGATCGAGAATGACGCTTGAGATTGAAGATCCCAATCGGGAAGGGGCGATAATTTTGATCGCTAGGAGTGGTTTGTGCGGCCAGCAGGGCTAATCAAAACACATATTTAATTAATTACTCCTATTTAGAGAAGTTTAAGTTTGAACTCCTATTTTGAGAATATGATCCATGTTTTGCTCCTATTTAGGGGGTTTTCTTGTTTATTAACCTTAATTGCAAAATAAAATTTATTAGCTTAGCATTTACAATTTGAAATAACTTAAGATGGCTAAAATAAATCACGTAACACTTGTCTAAATAAGTTTCATACTTTGAAATAACAAATTACTTGAAGATGCAAAATCTATTTTTAGAATTGAAGAAAAGTAAACCTCAAACAAAAATGGGAAAAATTAGAAAAATCTAGACAAAGGTTTCTTCGAAAAGAAAAAGGAAAAAAAATAAGGGGGGGTGGAAACTAAAACACCTAGCTGCATACAGGGCTATTAATTAAAAACATGTGGGTCGTCAAAAAGGAATAAGGTATGCACTAGAGTATGTATATATGTACGTGTACTTAATTTGGTGCAATGGAACGTATGTAGTACTTGAAGAAGATGCATGCATGCAATTGGGCGGGTCGGACTAACCTTTAACGGGAGGGCGGCGGATAGGAGCAGGAGCGGGCAAGATTTTATTGAGAGGGTACATGTCATATTTATTATGGCAGTTTGCCAATATAAATTCAGCACCCAATGCAGAGTTACAACGTTGGGGCACACAGCGGATATTTGTCTTCGGGCAGCTCCAACATTCTGGTTTAGAGAGACCGGGGGTGCACTGCCCAAGCATGTACATGGTCTTTGAGGCGGATACATTAACCTCTAGAGTATCAAATTTTTTGAAGGTCGCCACCACAACGTCTGCCATCCGGTTTAGGGTGTTTTCTAGCAAACCCATGAACCTTTGCGGCTCCGAGCTGTTCTGCGAACTGCACGACCCCACCGACGGTTTGTATATGTCCGAACATAGGGCTGCTAGAATAATCTAGCGTACACTGGCGATAGAAGATACGTGCCACTGCCTTCTCAGCCGCATACTTCTTTTGCCGCATCTTTTATGCATGACTGACAGTCTGCTAGAGAGACGTCGCCCCTACAAATGAAGAGCCCGCATACCGTATTGGACCCGCCACTTCCTGCCGTTGTTTTGTAAAATCCACCTGGGCGGGTAGCGTTCCACACCAGATCACCCAAAACCGTCTTTATATTGAATTGGTCGTATATCCTGTTTTGGTTGTGATGAACAATTGAATCACCACAACGATACCCCATCTGGGAAGTACATCCGCCCAACATGGTGACTAATACCACGAAGCAAAACGCAATATTAGATTATTGGAATATATGTTTGTACATATTTTGTTTTAATCCGTTTCCTTGTAGGACTGTATTTCCTTGTTCATATTTGTAACTATTGTACTATATATCAATGAAATCAACACATTCAATTCCAATTTACTACATGGTATCCGAGCATTGGATCCTAGGGAAACCCTAGCAACATCCGTCCTTCGTTCTTGCGCGTTCACCGATCATCTGTTGCCAGTAATCCTCCGTTCTCCGTTACCGATCGTTTGTCTCCAGCCAACGCCCGAGAAAACCGGCCTCAAGTGCGGATTGTCACGTCCACAAGAACCCGGCCTTCGTACCAATAGGCTCAGTCCCGTCCGCTCAACATGACTGCCGAGACTCCCAAGAAGACCTGGTTAATTCACGATCCAACAACAATCTACTATCTCCACCCGTCAGAACACGTTGGTAATGCCTTGACAAAATACCTTCTTAAAAGTGCTAATTATGAGATTTGGGAAAAGGCAATATGTTATGCGTTTGGGGGTCGTGGCAAGGCTGTTTTCTTGTCCCCCAAGGTTGTGCCCAAGCCCAAAGATGAGCGAGAATTGGGGACATGGGAATCCAACAACTCCATTATTTATAGTTGGATTTTCAACAGCGTCGGCGAATCAATCCAACCAAGTATCGTCTCTCACATAATTGCCTTCGAACTATGGTCAGATCTAAAGAAAAGGTATAGCACGTCTAATGGCCCTCACATATATCAATTGAAAACAGAGCTCAATGCCCTTTGGCAACAAGGACAGACAGTTGTGGCTTACTATAATCAATTCATTACTCTGTGGAATCAGCTACATTGAACTGATGATCCTACGGGAGGGTTGTGGAGGTGTGATATCCTCTCTTAAGCACANCAACAGCGTCGGCGAATCAATCCAACCAAGTATCGTCTCTCACATAATTGCCTTCGAACTATGGTCAGATCTAAAGAAAAGGTATAGCACGTCTAATGGCCCTCACATATATCAATTGAAAACAGAGCTCAATGCCCTTTGGCAACAAGGACAGACAGTTGTGGCTTACTATAATCAATTCATTACTCTGTGGAATCAGCTACATTGAACTGATGATCCTACGGGAGGGTGCACATGTGCGGCTGCCGCTACAACCCGGGCAAAGTACAAACGTGAAAAGACTATTGACCTATCCCTGATTAGACAGGGCCTTCCATCTCGTGACACAAGAAGAAAGGCATCACACTATCATTCGTAGCTGGGACGACAAAACTAAAGCCACGGCCTTTGCCGCAAGCCGAGAAGACAAAGTTACCCATGCCCCTGTGACGTCAACAAACTCTCATTGCACACACTGTGGTTGTACAAACCACACTGTTGATGCATCCTATGAAGTAATTGGATTCCCGAACACTACACCCGCCTAACTGCCACCCGCGGTCCATCCGCCAAAGGAGTACGACATGGTGGCTCTACCGGCCGTGGACAACCACCGACGGGTTGCAGAGGAGGCCGAGGCAGCGTCACCCAAAGCCAGATAGGCGACAGTGATGCCGGACAGGATAATTAAGATACAAATATGTATCCATCTCCATTATCTAATATTGTGTTTTGCTTCGTGGTACTAGTCACCATGTTGGGCGGAGGTACTTCCCAACTGGGGTATCGTTGTGGTGATTCACTTGTTCATCACAACGAAAATAGGATATACGACCAATTCAATATAAAGACGGGTTTGGGTGATCAGGTGTCGAACGCCACCCGCCCAGGTGGATTTTACAAAATTACAGCAGGAAGTGGCGAGTCCAGTACGGTATACGGGCGCTTCATTTGTAGGGGCCACGTCTCTCTAGTAGATTGTCAGTCATGCATAAAAGATGCGGCAAAAGAAGTATGCGGCTGAGAAGGCGGCGGCCCGTATCTTCTATCGCCAGTGCAAGCTAGATTATTCTAGCAACCCCATGTTCAGACATATACAAACTGCCGATGGGGTCGTGCAGTTCGCCGAACAGTTCGAAGCCGCAAAGGTTCATGGGTTTGCTAGAAAACACCCTAAACCGGATGGGAGATATTGTGGCGGCGACCCCCAAAAAATTTGCTACTCTGGAGACTAATGTCTCCACCTTAAAGACCATATACATGCTTGGGCAGTGCACCCCCGATCTCTCCAAATCGGGATGTCGGAGCTGCCTCTGTGCCCCAACATTGTAACTCTGCATTGGGTGCTGAATTCATATTGGCTAGCTGCCATATTAAATATGACATGTACCCTCTCAATAAAATCTTGCCCTCTCCTGCTCATATCCATTGCCCTCCCGTTAAAGGTTAGTCTGGCCCGCCCAATTGCATGCATGCATGTTCTTCAAGTACTATGCATAGTTTTGAATGGCGAGCGCCATACTCGCCTATGGCGGTTATGGCGTTGTGGCGAGGCTCTAACGCCTAGATTAGGCTGTGCATGGCGATGTCCTTGAGGCGATGAAAGGCGTTCGCCATTCTTGCTGCGTCTTATGGCATTTGGCGAGTGCAATTATCGCCATACAGATCTGGGTAACTTTTTTTCGATGTTGAGCCTTAAGAATTGAATGGATTGATGAAATTGGGCTTAAGCCCGTTTGTAATTGTTGGAATTAAGTGTATTAACTAGCTCAACTTATGTATTACATGATTAACTCCTATATATAGAAAATCAAAAACAAGTAACAACTAAAAATATCTTCCTAACTAACTAACAAACTATGTAACTAATCAAGTAAACAAATGCTAAATGGTGGTTTACACCAACACCCCCCTCAAGTTGAAGGTGGGAACAACTTCAACTTGCAACTGAATAAGATCATTGTTGACCATGCATAAACAACAAACTTTTCTGCCCAGCAAGTCACCTTTTGTCCAATCTTCTTCTACTCCTCTGGCCCCATCACCCATGCCAGGGGACTCTGAAAAAGTTAGCTTGGGTGCTCCATGTCTTCTTGGTCCCGGGAATGTAGGGATTCAGCAAACAACTTCTGGTCAGCTCAATCTCTAGCAATTGACACTCCAGGGATATCAACATCACCATTGCTTCCAGAAATTTACAGTTTAGATGGCACACATACAAATGTATCAACTTCCATTTCTGGGAAGTCAACAATTGAACAATGTCTGGAGCGCTTGGTTAATGCAGTAAGAAAGGTGTCGGCCAAAGCATTGAATTCCTCTGTTAGTGATATGAGCTCTGTTATCAGTATGATGGATAGAATAGCTGGATCTACACCTGTTAAGATTAATTATGCACTTATTGAAGAGATAAAGGCGATTAATCAGCAACTGATTGATACTATGGTAGAAATCAGTGATGAACTTGTGATGAACTAGTGATAGCTGCGATGGTTCTCCAAAATGAACAAAAAAGTGAACCATACACAACCGATGATGAAGATGAGATGACAAATCAATTGATGAATTCACACGAAAACATCAAAGGATGAAATGAAATCAATTGACAAAAACAATTGATGAAATCAACCGAAAACCGGATGATGATGAAAGTGAAACTCGATCAAAGCGATACGAGTGAAACTCAATCAAACCGACTGAGTGAAATTGAACAATGATGAAACTTCTGAATTACAGAAGTGAAAGAGAATGATTGAAACTGAACATTCCAATTATGAGAATGAAAATGAAGTTGGATACTCAGTCTGAGAACCAACATAATGAACAGAGGATCAGTAGAGATCACTTGTGATGATGAAAATGAAATATAGATGGCAAAGTCATAATGAGGAATATGTTTTGAATTTATTCAATCTGTGATGAAATCTGATGAGGATGAAATCAGATTGACAATGATATTCATGTGATAAAACTCATTTAATTGAAGACAGAAAATCAAATGCAAGAATTACAGTTTTGCATTCGATAATGATGATGAATCTGATTTTGCATTCCATGGAGCACAAGATAATGAACATGACCTGAATTGGATAGAGGAAAAGGCGAAGAAGGTCGGAAGAATGGCGTAGTTTTGCCTCGGATCTGAATTGACGGCGAGATTGCGGAGACCGCGTCGGATTGTCGTTTTCAGAGCTCCGGCACCGGCGGTTCGAATTCAGTAACCGGAGAGAAATATGGAGCGGTTGATGTGTCCATCCATGCGCCGAACGCCTGTTGAACCTCTGGAGGAAAATACATCATTGTTGGCGGCGAATGTGAAGGGGCAATTGAATCACTGGCGTGTTTCTGAAGCGCCGGAAGAAAGGTGGCCGCCATACCATAGTCAATAGGGGCGGCGGCGCTCGGCGGATCCATGAAATTGGAGAGATCAATAGACGGAGATGGCGTCAAATTGAAGTTTTCTCCACTCGGATTGACATCCATTGATGAATTATCAACAGGAAAATTCGTGGACTGCGACTGCTCTCGACGCGGAGATCATGATCGGTTGTGACATGAGATAATAGGCCAATCGGCGATTCAACTCCATCGCCGCAAATCTCAAGGATTTGAAATTGAAGATAAGGAGAGAAGAATTGGGAAGCGTAGTGCTAGAGTGAAAATTGAAGATAAGAGTCGATTGCTTGGAGCTACAGCAATTAGCTCCGATACAGCAACCAGCTCCAATACCATGATACCATTGGAATTAAGTGTATTAACTAGAGCAACTTCTGTATGAAATATTTACCTAAATAGGACTAAAACATAATGACTTTCTCAATATAAGACTATATGTTTTTGTTTCCCAATGTAGGACCTTTGGTCATTATGAAGTAGTCATTATTCAAGTAAATGTCCATCATTACTGAACATTATTCCTCCCACTAGGTCATTATGAAGTCCTATTTAGGAAATAAAAAAGTTTAAGTCCTACACTAGGAAAGTCATTATGTTTTAGTCCTATTTAGTGCAAATTTCACCTTTTGTATTACATGATTAATTCCAATATATATAGAAAATAAAAAACAAGTAACAACCACAAATATCTTCCTAACTAACTAACAAACTATGTAACTAATCAAGTAAACAAATGCTAAATGGTGGTTTACATCAATAGTAATTAAATGATTTGATCCGTTGCCTTAAGTCAGTTTATCCATTACCTTAATCGATCGTATTCCCTTCCCCTCTTCCGTCTTCTTCCCCTATCCTCTCTTCCAATCAACCATCGGTTGAGCTTCCCAGCTTCAACTCTGCTCCCACTCTCCGAAGTCGCAGGTTCATAGCATCTCTCCTTCCCAGAGTCGCAACTTCCAAGCGTCCCTCCTTGGTCCGTGACTCAGTGCAGCTGCATCAGGTCACTAAGGATATTATTCTTAATTTTTTTAATTTGTGTATTATTTAATTAATTAATACTAATAGTTACAATTTCTTTAGTCTAATAGTTACCATTATATTTTCAATTTGTGTATTAATCTTTCAATTTACTGTTGAAGACTTTTTTATATGCCCTGCATTATATATATATATATATATATATATATATATATATATATATATATATATGTATATGTATATATATATATGTATATATATATATATATATGTATATATATGTATATGTATATATATATATATATATATATATATATATATATATATATATATATATATGACGGACAATAAATCCACCAAATGACCCGATTCAGAAAGCGGATCGTAAGAGTAGAATTAAGAATAAGAGTTCGAGAATTGGGTATGTATCCTCCACTTTCCCTCTCAGGTCTCCTCTATTTATACGTGAACTCAAGACAATTAAGGTAATGCATAATCAACGGGGTCTATTCCGTTAATGGCGCAATCCTCTTTTTCCGGCTTCATCTCCGTCATTCCGTTCCGTTTCCTTCTCTGAGTTGACTCTGCCAACTGTTCGTGGACTGGAATTAGCCGGGCTTAACTCCATTTGGGCCGCCCGTTGGATATCGGCCCATCACAAGCCCCCCAACTCCTCAATCCTTGACTGGGCCAAGTTGAGGAATGGAGAGTTTACGAAGTCCACGTGGGCGCTCCAGCGTGGATCCGGGCCGTTCCTTGGGTTCCACGTGACATTTGGGCACGATCTCCACGAATAGGTAATCATGGCCTGCCGCTTCGCCTCCCCATTTCCAGTTAAAAACCGCCACCGGACGCCATCTCTTTCTTCCGCCTCACCATCCGTGCGTGATTCCGCTGTTATCCGACCCGTTTTGCTTCTGCTCCAGGTCAGTTCCCTCTCTCACCACCATGATTGTCTCTGATTCCGATTCAGCTTCCGCATCGTCCAATTCTCGTCATGCCGATCAATCGGCCTCTGGCCGTGACCCAAGCCAGACTCAATCGTCTCGTTCGTCCCCGCCGGCTGTGCCCGGCCAAAAGCTACGCCGATTGTGGAAGCAATTTCTATCTTCGACCCCAGTACGGGAGGGCTCGAGGGTCAGGCTGGACGAGAGCATCATGGCATTGTGCCATTGCCAAGTTATTGACCGGGGGTTCGCCGATGCCACTGATATGGTGGGACCCTCTATTGAGGTTCTAAGGCCTACTAGCACCCAGCCCGCCCTAGACGCTTCGTCGGGGTTCTTTACAGTCCATTTGGCGTCCCTGAAGAAGGGGCTGCGATTTCCTCTCCACCCGCTGTTGATTGAATTCCTCAACGAGGTGGACCTCCTCCCCTGTCAGTTGGTTCCCAATTCCCATCGGTACATTGCCGGTTATCTAATTAGATGCAAGGATATAGGGGTGAAACCAACTCTCGACCACTTCCTGTTCACTTTCAAGCTGACCAAGGGTCACAAGGATTGGGCGTCCTATGCCAGTCTTTCCCAAAGGTCCAGCAAACTGTTTACCAGAGACAAGAAGGGGTCGACCAAGGACTGGAAGCCCTTCTTCGTCTTTGTCTTGACGGGGCCCGAATCTCCTTTCACGGGTTCAGGGCTCCCTTCTTTCCGTCGCATCCCTTGCCCCTCATCTGACGCCACCCTCTTGTCCATGACCCACCAACTTTGCGGCCGAGGGGCTGTCAACATTAAGGAGGTGGTAACCGAGGAGTCTCTTGCCAAGATGGGGTTTGAGTTCGTCCAAGACGAACTTTGCCACCAACCTGAGCTGTTGAGGGATGTTCTCGGGGGCGGCCAACCCGACCAGCCAAGGGGCGCTCCTGAGGGAGGCCTTGATTTTGGTCCTTTTGGTAATTTACCCTTTTTTTTGCCAAAATGTTCTAGTTTACTTTATTCACAGGCTAACCATTTTCCTCGCTTTCAGTTGAGTTACAGGACCTAGGAGAAGAGATGGACAGCGATCTCCTACTCAGTCGCTTCACGGCTGGGAGGAAGAGGAAAAGAGAGGCGAGGGGCCAAGGCAAGCGCTCTTCCTCCCACCGGGGGGACAGTCCTTCTCAAGAGCCGGCTGTAATCGTGGTGGAGGACCAGGATGATGCGGCCCTATAAACGGGTACAAATGCGGTTCATTCCCCTCTGCACTCTCTGGTGCCAGGTGGCGACCTGGCTGGGTCGTCCCAAAGTGTTGTCTTGGAGCGACCTCATTCGTCGCCCGCAGTGACCTACGAGGTGGCGACCGAGGGTCGCTCAACAAGGCTCAGCATTCCTCCCCTGCCTCAAAGTCTAGGGGACGTGCAGCTGGAGACCTTGATCACCCTGCCCGCGGAAGACCAGGCCCGCATCTCGGCCGGTTCTGAGGACGATCTTGACAACATGGTCCTCTTGAGACTTAGCCAGGTAGATTTCCTTCTCAACACCCTTCCCCCTTACACTCATAACTTTTATGCCTTGGCATAGGCTACGCTGGGGATGATTGAGGTTGTCGGCAGGAAGTGGGGCCGCCAAGCTGCTCTGGATGAGGCGATGAAGGCAGCGGAAGCCAAGCAGAAGGAGTTATAGGAGGTCGCCCGTCTTATGAGGGAGTTGGAGGAGAAGGAGAGCCGCTGCGCTGCTCTTGAGGCGGAGAAAGCCTCCCAACAGGACCGCTGCGTTGCTCTTGAGGCAAGTAAAGCCTCCCAATCTTTGGAGGTGGAATCTGTTTCTGCTCGCGTGGTCGAGTTAGAGGGGGAGAAGACTGACCTGATCCAACAGCTGGAGTTGGAGAGGAGCGACCGGGCCCGCCACGTGGAGGACGTGATCGAGTCTTTTAAGTCTTCCCCTTACTTTACACTAGTCACTCTGGAGCGAATGGACAGGCTGGCAGCCGAGTGGCTCAAAACTGAACACGGGGCTCAATGGATGGTCAAGGAGGGGACCAGGTCCTTCAACTGCGGCCTCTTCCGTGCCCAGCAAGTCTTCCATGATAAGCTAGCCCAGCTTCCCAAAGGATTTTCTTTCCCCGACCTCGGCTTTCCTCCTCCCTGTCGTTCCCTGGCTGAGTTCGACCCCAGTCCTTACCTGGACGGAGGGAGCTCGAGCGCTTCCGACAAAGAAGAAGAAGATGGACAGGGCGACCAGAATCTGGGGCTCAACGTAGCAACATCCAAGGCAGGCAAAAATCCCAGCTCGAGCATCTAACTCCCCTGTCTCCCCTCTTCTTGTTGCTTTTATTCTGCCCTTCAGTAATGTAAAGACTTATGATTTTTCGGAATGCCTCGATGTTTCGATGCAATGTTCTCATGTTGGATGTGATGTCTAACTCGTTTTGATCATCATGCGCTTTCCTTTCTCTGTACTTGATTACTATGCTCCTTAATTTAGTTTAGCTCGTTAACATGGTTTGGGCCCAACTTTTGACCCTGGCCCAGCTGCATGTCCAGGCCCAGCTTCGGGATTGGCCAGCATGCCGCCCAACTGACCCACTGCCCTTCACAGTCTCCAATTGGACCTTCGCATGGCTCGAAGTTACTTTATCGATTCAGCTGCCTTGGGACTCATCCGTCCCTTCGGTTTCTTCGCCCCCCCAATCTTTACTCAATTCCATCATCAAATACTTTCCTTCTCTCCGTTTTTGTCATGTCTGAGGGAATCCCCACTTCTCTGGATCTCTCCAACGGGCCGGCTCCTTCTTCGCCAGAACCTGCCTCTTCTCCCTAATCAGTTAACTCCAACGACTAGGGGGGCTAGACCCCTACGAATTCTTCCGCCGGTTGCCCCGTCGGCAATGGCCATCCGTGAAACCGCCGCCGATTCCTCCAAACCCTTATGAGGATTTCAGCGAGGCGTAAAAGGCTCTCTCTGCCAACCATCTGCCTGACGGGCGGGTTGACTGGGATGCCCCATGCCCCCTCCATTCACTGCAATGCATGGCCTGGGAGAGCTTCCACGATGAGCACTTACCCCTCTTAGAGCATGAGTGCGCATATTATGCGAGTCTGGAGCGATGGACTAACGAGAGTCGCACTAGTTCACCGGTGAGGCCTAAAGATGAGGCGGTGGTGGGGGAAGAACCGGGTTCTTCCCTACCCAGCCCTATGGGTTGCTCACCTCCCCGGAAGGCCCTTAGGCGATCTAGGGTAGCGCGAGCGGCTTCAGGGTCTGCATCCTCATCTAAGTGATGCCGATTGGGGCTCACAGAAAAGTGAGCTGCCTCCCGTCCCTCCCTGGTAGGAGAAGGACGGTGGGTTCTTGTCGAGGCTGGGGGCGACCGCTCCTGTTCCATGATGGAGAAGAAAGGTGGTCGCTCTGTACGGCCGGTGATCAGAGTTCTGTCGGCCTATACAGCTGCAGAACTACCCTTCAACCTTGCCTGTTTCCCTGGATCCTTCATCCTTCCCGGGCCTCAGCTGCTCACCAAGTTCTAGATTTTTCTTTTTCCTTGTAAGAAATGTATGGGAAAATATCCCTTCTTTTGGAAGTACGTAGAGATTGTTCTCAACTGTATTGTAGTAGATGCAAGAGATTATCCTTGAAATGTAATAAACATTTTCATAAATATACTTTGATGTTACCTGTTTACTCACAAGTTCCATCTTTTTCTCTCTCGTATCTCATTTTAAGCGCTCAGGTTTCCTCAGACCTTAATTAGAGAATACCTTGCCTCTTTTGACTTGGCCGTTCTCGGGTTATTTTAACCCTTGTGGCGTTACCATACCTTCAAGGTCCCCTGGTCGCCCATGTGATCAACAGATCTTATGTTCCGGACTTAGCCATTTTCTCAGGCTTTCTCGCCACGGCATCGCCCTCTGGTTAATCGCGTCGCTTGACAACCTTCAGTCTTGGTCGCTTTGATAGGGTTCGACACTTCATCCCTTGTTGGGTATCTTAGCGCGAATCACCATACAGCTCAGGCTTAGCGATCTCTTTTGGTCGCTCCTTGGCGATCTTTTCTGGTCGCCCCTTTTTTTTGAGAATTGAGGACAAGATATGCCAGAATGCCAGTTTTATTAAACTTTAGGAGAGAAATGCGGCTGGAATACAATCTATTGGTAAAATTTAATAAGGTTGGCGGCATTCCATACTCGCGGAACGTCGCCTCCAGCTGGTGTCTCGTCAATTTAAACGTCCCATCGGCCAACATCTCCTTTATGACATATGGCCCTTCGAAGCTCTTAGCAAACTTCCCCCCATCAGTCGGCCGACTGACCTCCCTTTTCCTAAGGACACAGTCGCCCACTCTGAACTGCCTTGGTTGCACCCGCTGGTCGTGATATGACTTGACCTGCCGACGGTAGTTCTCTGCCCGTATGTACGCCCTTTCTCTTCGCTCATCAATGAGGTGCAGCTCTGCCCTCAAGTTTTCTTCATTTTCCGGGGCATCAAATGTCTCCACTCTATAACTCAGCAACGAGGTCTCCGCTGGAGCCCTCGCTTCAAATCCGTATGTGAGTGAGAAAGGAGTCTCACCCGTGGCCTTCCTCGGGATAGTTCTGTAGGTCCACAAGACGTAGGGCAATTCCTCCACCCAGGCGCTTTTGCATTCCATTATCTTCTTCTTCAGGCCATCTATGATGGTACGATTAGTGTTCTCGACCTGCCCATTGGTCTGGGGGTAACCGACCGCTGCATAGCTGTGTTTTATGCCCCAGCTCTGTAGAAACTCATTGAACCCTCTAGCCTCGAACTGCGTTCCATTGTCGGTGATAATCTGCTGGGGCACCACAAATCAGAACAAGATTTGCTTGGACACAAACTTCCTCATCTGTTCTTCAGTGATGGTCGGCACAAGGGCAGCCTCGACCCACTTGGTAAAGTAGTTGATCGCGACTACTAGGTACGTGTTGTTCCCTGTCCCCCGAGGCAAAATACCCACCAAGTCCATACCCCACCGGGCAAAGGGAATCGTCGTGCTGATCGGGGTATAATTCGTCGCCGGTCGCCCAGGCACCTTTTGGAATTCCTGGCAAATCTTGCATTTACGCACATACTCTGCACAATCCCTGATAATCGTTGGCCAGAAATATCCTTGCAGGGTCACCTTTGTGGACATGGTGAAGGCTCCCTGATGTGCTGAGCATATCCCTTCATGGATTTCCTCCATTAACTTCTGCGCATCGTCCCTCCTTAGGCATCTCAATAATGTACCATTGTACGATCGCTTGTACAGTCGACCGCACTCCAGCGTGTAGCTAGGTGCACGCCGTTTCACCACCTTTGCTGCGATTGGGTCAGTAGGTAGCGACCCGTCAAGGATGTACATGGTAATCTCATCGATCCAATCCGCCGGCTCCTTGGCTCGAGCAACTCTTCTTCCTGGGTCATGGCCTTGATATGCTCTGGGGAATCCGGACCAAGCTTTGACAAGATGTCCGCCTCGGCATTCTCTTCTCTAGGAACCTGCTCTATCCGGTATGCCCCGAATGCTTTAAGAAACTCCAGTGCGGTGTCCCTGTATCTCTTCATTCGCTCATCCTTGGCTTCAAATTCTCCTGTGACATGGCCTACTATCAATTTAGAGTCGCACCGGACTTGAATTCGTTCAGCCTTTAATGAAGCTGCCAGCCTCAAACCGCAAAGCAGCGCCTCATATTCAGCCTCATTGTTTGAGACTCTAAACTGGAATCTCACAGAGTAGTATGCTTTGAACCCTTCTGGCGATACTGTCACGACACCTCCCCCCGAAGCATCAGTCGCGAACGAACCGTCAGTGTACACAGTCCACCAGTTCACCTCGGGTTCTTCTCCACTGGACTCCACCTCTCTTGCGGTGCATTCTACCACGAAATCTGCCAATGCCTGCCCCTTTATCGCCGGTCGTGGCTTAAACTCTATCAGAAAAGATCCCAGGAACACTCCCCACTTGCTGACCCGCGACGGGGCGTTTGGGCTCTGGAGAAGTGTTCCGATAGGAATTTGAGATAACACACGGACCGGATGGGCTTGAAAATATGAGGTGAGCTTCTTCACCGTACATACCACCGAAAAGATGGTTTTTTCCATGTTTGTATATCTCAGCTCCGCCCCACGCAGCACCCGGGCCACATAGTACACAGGTCGCTGTGCGCCTTCCTCCTCCCTCACAAGCACTGAGCTCACAGCTCGAGGAGAGATTCCTAAGTATAGGAATAGGGTCTCTCTGGGCTCTGGCTTCGAAAGCACTAGTGGGGAGAGGAGGTATGCCTTCAACCCTTCAAAGGATCGTTGGCATTCTTCGGTCCAGACAAACCCTCTGCTCTTCTTAATGGTCTGGAAGAAAGGTGCCGCTCGATCAGCTATTTTCGACAAGAAGCGACTGAGAGCAGCAATCCTGCCGGTGAGCTGCTGGACCTCCTTCACATTCCGCGGAGGTTCCATCTCCAAAATTGCCTTCACCTTCTCCGGATTAGGCTCAATCCCTCTTCGGCTGACCATATGTCCTAGGAACTTGCCCCCCTCAACCCCGAATGTACACTTCTTAGGGTTAAGGCGAAGCTGGAACTCCTACATGATCTTAAAAACTTTCTCCAGGTCTCCGGCATGAGATTCCATCCGCTTGGATTTGACGATCATGTCGTCCATATATGCTTCCATGCATCCACCTAGCACTGGTGCGAACAGTTTGTTGACCATCTGTGCATATGTCGCTCTAGCATTCTTCAAACCAAAGCGCATCACCTTGTAACAATACACCCCATTGGGGGTGATGAAGGCGGTCTTCTCTTCGTCCGCTGCGGCCATCTTGATTTGGTGATACCCACTAAATGCGTCCATGAAGCTCATCAGTTCACACCCTGCCGTCTCATCCACCAACTGATCAATGTTGGGTAGAGGGAAGGGGTCCATCGGGCAAGCTTTGTTTAGGTCGGTGTAGTCGACACACATCCGCCAGGTGTTTCCTTTGGGTGCGAGGACTACGTTCGCCAGCCAATCTGGGTAGCGGACTTCTCGGATATGCCCGATGGACTGCAGGGTTGTCACCTGTTTGGTGACAAACTCTCTCCGTTCTGAAGAAAGAAAACGTTTCTTCTGTTTGATCGGCTTGTGGGTTGGGTCTACCGCCAACCTATGGCAGATGATCTTTGGGTCGACCCCGGGCATATCTTCTGGGCCCCAAGCGAACAGCACTTTGAATGTTTGAAGGACCCTCAATAGTTGCTCCTTTAATCTCGGTGGTAAAGTTTTACTTACCTTTACCTTTTGTTCTGGCTGGGCCGGGTCTAAGGTGACTTCTTCAATCTCGTCTGCTGGCACAGCTCGAGGTCGCCCCTCCTCCTTCTGGATCGCAGCACAGATTGTGCTCACGTTCTCATCGACTCGCGCCTGGCTTTTGGTCGCCCTGACATAACACGATCGAGACAAACTTTGGTTCCCTCTCGCCACTCCCACCCTCATGGGGGTGTTGAACTTCAGGCATAGGTGGACGGGGGCGATCACGCACTCCAGGTCCTCCAACCCTGGTCGCCCCAGAATCAAATGGTGTGCACAGTCGAGTTGCACTACCATGAATTCCATGTCAATCCAGAGTCGGTGGGTGCCATCTCCTACCCCGGCCATCACCGTGATAGTCCCTTCAGCTTCAATGGTATCTCCTGTGAACCCCGACAATGGCGTATGGATTGGTTTCAGGTCACTTCGAGACAACCCCAATTCCTTAAAGGTGTTGTTGTACATAACGTTGACCGAGCTGCCAGTATCGACCAAGGTACGGTGGACGACCACATTATTGATTTCCACCCTTATCACCAGTGCATCTCTATGGGGGCTGAGGACTGGTGGGTAATCCTCGTCTGTGAAAATCGGAGGTTTCTTCTTCTTCCGCTTGGGCAGGGTTGGCCTTTGTACCTCAGCCAGATGCACCATATTTTTCCACTTCTTTCGTGAGGATACCGAATCTCCTCCGGTGTTGCCTCCCATGATGAACCGACACCCAAGGTGTCGGCGGCCCTGCCTTTCCTCCACATCTAGGTCGTCACAATCTCTCCCTAGATGTCGTCGTCCATCCTCCTGCCCTTCTCCTGTTGTGATCGCTGCTGTGGGGGCTGCCGGTCTCTTCCAGGTCCGGTTACCTGAAGATGGTCGCTCCGACCGAGGAGGCGGCCCTATGGCGATCAACTGATTCATCTCCTTTTTTAGTGTAACGCACTCCGATGTGTTGTGGGTGCTGTTACGGTGGTACTCACAGTATCTCGGTGCATCTTGCACACCATAGCTTTCCCGACTGTGAGGAGGGGCAGGCAAAGACTGTATCGCGTGAACAGGATGTCTGTTCGTATGATATCCGGTGGGGTTCAGCCCCTTACCGTAATCCTTCCTCTTCTTTTCTTCTACCACCGGTGGCCTGCTTTTCTTCTCCTTCCGGACCGGTGGCTTATCGTCTTCCTCTTCCAATGCCAGGTATTTCGCCCTGGCCAACATCTCCTGATAGGTCGAGAGTGGATTCCGTCGCAGCTCCTTGCGCACATCCCCTTGGGGGAGTGCAGCTTGGAGCATGGCGATCAAGGCTTGGTCGTCCGCCCCTTGGACGTCCCTAGCCTCCTTCTCCCACCTATTAATGAATTCCCGGAGCTGCTCCCCCTTCCGAATCTTTACATTGAGCAAATGCGAGAAGGAGAGCTTTTGTCTTCGGCTGGACGTGAAGTGCTCCAAGAACCTGTGGGCCAGGTCGCTCCACTTGTATATCGATCCCTTGGGCAACTTGTGGAACCACTCACAAGCCTGCCCTTCTAGTGTCGCCAGGAAGCATTGACACTTGATTTCTTCTGGATATGCATAAATGACCACGTTCACTCCGAAACGAGCAAGATGGTCCTGGGGATCGGCCGTCCCATTGTACGCTTTGATTTGTGGGGTTTTGAAGTTGTCCAGGAGAGGGCGGGACATTATCCTTCTAGAGAAGGGTGTTACTTCACTGAAGACCGCCTGGCGGTAGGGGTTTTGGGCGTCCAACCGCTTCTCCAGTCGCTCATACATTTTCCATAGATCGGCTGCTTCCTTATCCTTGACCGCCTTTCGTCGCTCCTCCGACCCTCTGGATGAGGGCCTCCGCCTCCCCCGTGGTGATGGGGGGTGCCGGCCTCCAGTGGCGCTGTTTTCTCCCTGGTGGGGAGCTCCGATACCTGCGTTGGCGTTGCTGCATGTTTGCACCATCGTCTTTGTGGAGGATTACCTTTGAGTATGATTCTCGAACTCTCAATCAGAGCACCAATTTGACGGACAATAAATCCACCAAATGACCCGATTCAGAAAGCGGATCCTAAGAGTAGAATTAAGAATAAGAGTTCGAGAATTGGGTATGTATCCTCCACTTTCCCTCTCAGGTCTCCTCTATTTATACGTGAACTCTAGACAATTAAGGTAATGCATAATCAACGGGGTCTATTCCGTTAATGGCGCGATCCTCTTTTTCTGGCTTCATCTCCGTCATTCTGTTCCGTTTCCTTCTCTGAGTTGACTCTGCCAACTATTCGTGGACTGCAAATGGTCGGGCTTAACTCCATGGGCCGGCCCAAGCCTGGACATCCTCCAAGCGCTTGACCTAAGTTGTTGAAATGGTTCATTTGGGCCACCCATTGGATATCGGCCCATCAATATATATATATATATACACATATAGGGATTGACTGAGTGAGATGACACCATACAGTGAGATACCATGCTACGGTCAGATGACGCAAAGCTCACCACTGCCCACTACAAAGCTCACCAAGCACAACTACAAAGCTCACCAAACTGTAAGGAAAACCTCACCATATTTTCTCAACACTTTGATTTTTTTTTGAAAAAAATAAAATCAAAGGAAGGGGTGCTGACTAGATTCTGACCGTTGACTGCCGCCGGCCACCGCCGCTGCCGCTGTGTCGCCAGAATCTGCTGCCGGTTGCCGGAATCTGCCGCCTGCCGCCGCCGGTCGCCGGAATCTGATGCCGGTTGCTAGCAACTGCCGCTATTCCGCCGCCTGCCACCGCCGTTGACCGGTGGTTGACCGGTGTTACTATTTTATTTTTATTAATTTTTAATTTTCAAAATTAAAAAAAAAGTGAGTTTTGGTGTTCAAAGTGGTGAGCTTTACTTTATTTCTAGGTGAGTTTTGCATTGTCCATTGGTGAGCTTTGTAGTGTAGTGTGGTGAGCTTTGCATCATCTCACCGAAGCATGTCATCTCACCATAAGGTGTAATCTCACTGGCGAGCTTTGCATCATATATATATATGTGTTTGTGTGTGTGTGTGTGTGTGTGTGTGTGTGGGTGTGGGTGTGTATTTATTTATTTATATTCGCTTTTTATTTGTTCGCCATTTGACCGCCCGCCACTCGCCACAAAAAACGTCCTCTCGCCCGCCTCTCGCCATTCATAACTATGGTACTACGTTCCATTGCACAAAATTAAGTAAATGTACACACACACACATATACACTCTAGTGCATACCTTATTCCTTTATGACGACCCACATGTTTTCTTTGTTTCAATTTTTTGTAATTTTCATATTTTAATTAATAGCCCTGTATGGAGCTAGGTGTTTTAGTTCCCCCCCCCTTTTTTTCCTCTTTCTTTTCAAAGAAACCTTTGTCTAGATATTTTAAATTTTTCCCGTTTTTGTTTGAGGTTTATTTTTCTTCAATTCTAAAAATACATTTTGCATCTTGAAGTAATTTGTTATTTCAAAATTTGAAACTTATTTAGCCGAGCGATCTTTATTTGACAAGGACTACGTCATGCCATATAAACATTCAGGAACCTATTTCCTTTTTATTAGGATAACATTTATTATAAAAGACCCAAAAATTTATTCCTAAAAATTTCCACCATTTACTTCCATTTTTACACACTCACTTATCTTTTTTTGTGCTCATTAATGTATGGAATGACTATTTTTGTGTTGTTTGAGCTGGGGGTCTCTTACTCTCTTGGAAACAGCCTCTCTACTTTCAAGTAGGGGCAAGGTCCGCATACACACACCCTCCCCATATCTACATGGGATCCAATAGGGTCGTTGTTGTTCTAATGTATGGAATGACAGGAATCAAGACTGCACGCTCAATACCCCCCACCATACAAACAAATGATGAATCTTTATTCTAATTTTCGTTTTCGATTCCTCCCTACACACTCAGATTGCATGCCTCCCCATATCTAATTAATAGCCCAAAGAACAAAGTTGCCAAGTTGAAAGAGGTAACCTAACAGTCTGTCAATCATAAAATGCAGAATTGTAATGCTCTAGGCTCTTATTGGAAGCTTAGGATTAATTCTTTTCCTCTTAGGTTACAGCATCCCACCCAGTTCCACTCTTTTTCCTAGTTCAACTTAAATCTGGTGTGACCTTGATTACTTCCCTACTGGCTAGCTCTTTTATAAACACTACACATTCTCTCCATCATATTATATCAGATTATCAAATGAATAAATAGACTTCTATTGGAAATGAAGTTCATTTTTTTCAGATAAAATGAGGTAAACTAACACATATTTGAACAGATGAACAAGAAGGAATGAAGGATGGTATCGTCAGTTGGTGAGAACAATTAGAATTTAAGCCTTACCTGCTGCCCCGTGAGCGAAACGGCACTTGGTTCCAAATGGGCAATACCCCGTTGTTTCCCACTTGTTACAAATCCTTGTCTTCCAGTTGGTGGGCTTTTGGTACATCGATGTTGAGCTGTTCTTATCGAAATCGCCCATGGTGGAGTCACACTAATGGCAACACTCTCCCTGGACCGCGCCTGTTCATCATGAATATAGGTGCAGCTAACCCTCTTCGGTATAGAACTTCTTGCAGTGCCTTCCTTTGTGAGACCTCTGAAAGTCAGCCCGCGATTCAGGGCAAGTCATTATTGGAAACTGGTGTTCCTCTCTGTTGTTTTCAAATCCCACCCCTCCCTCATGAGCAGTGACTATCTCCTGCAAATTAGGAGGCGGCTTGTGAAGCTCTTCAAGTCCATGAGCAAAGTTGCAGTTGGTGATATAGGGGCAGACCCCCCGCACGGAACTTGTAACACAGTTTGGTCTTGAAGAACATCTTCCCAATGGCTTTGGATCTAATTGGGACTACGACTTGAGACTCCAAGCCCTGTGAGGCACGGGATTTCTTGCTCGAGGGCTTATACCCGCCACTTTCATTCCAGGCTCTATAATCATCCTCGATCAGTAGCCCAAAGAGCATGGTCATTTATTCCAGGAAGGCTGCCACAATTATCATACCCAGCCGTTGTTTCTCCCAAGAAATCCATCCGCCCAACCAGCCACACAAATGATTTGAATGAAACCTCAGGTGCACATAATATATAATCACATCCTGAAAGAAAGATGAAACCTCAAAATTGAATAAAGATCCATGGAAGCCATGTTGGGGAAGCACAGACAAAACACAACGGAAGCGAATAAAATCTTTTCCCCAAAGAAATGAGATGAATAACAAGCACAATGAACACTGAAAAATCAGCAGCACACACACAAATAAACGGAAGCGGTAATAAACTAGAGGACACGCGATTTACGTGGAAACCCCAAATCGGGGAGAAAACCACGGCAGCTCAACAACGGCTCCCAAACTTCCACTAATCACCAAGAATAAAGTGGGTACAACAAGTTCTCCTCTCTAGTAAACAGTAGAGGCACACACAATCATCAAGGAACAACCTTGGCATAACAACAATCAACAATTCACCAAAAACTGAGTAAAAACACCCAAAAACGCAGGCCTGAAAAGGCAGCAAGAAAACCACCTTCCTGGCATCAAAACGAGAAACTGACCCGTTGGATTTGAAGAGGAGTATGTGAGGAACAACATGCTTGGCCTTCGATCCGGACGAGAAAAGTGTGGCTGCTGCACAGTGGCTGAAATCTTCTTTTTCTCCCTTTTTCCTGTGTTTAGCTACTGCCACTGCCTCTTCTTTTGCTCCCTTATCTTTCTCTCCTCTTTTTTTACGGAGTATTATTTAGTACCATACACCAAACATAGACACACACAGACACAAAATGTCTGTGCAACACAGACACAAAATGTCTGTGCAACACAGACACGTGTGTGTCTGTGTTGGCTTTGGTGTATATTTGGGGTACCCCATGTTGGTGTACCCCTAGCTTAATTCATAAAGTAAATGGGCCACCATAAAAAATAGAAAAATGCCAGGGGTACACCAAAAGTGTACCCCATTTGTCCCCCACCCTCTCCATCACCACAAAAAAGGCAAGAAAATAAAAAAAATTAAACAAATAAAAAAAATTGTATGGTGGAGAAATGGGTGGGGGACAAATGGGGTACACCATTTGGTGTACCCCTAGCATTCCTCTAAAAAATATACATTTGGGCTAAAACATTACACACACAAAAATAAGCACAAATATAAAAGAGATTTAAAGTGTTGTCCAATTAAAATTGGACACTTCCTTCATGTAGAAGTGATATTTCCCAACAGGCCAAAAGTGGATCTGGATACCCAGATTGCCGGATTTGAAGCTGAATTGCAGAGATTGACGTTAAAAAACTAAGGCCCCGTTTGGTACACAAAATTCAAACTATGGAATTGGAATTGAGGAATTCAATTCCAATTCTGATGTTTGATAGCACAAAAATTATGTGGATTTGAAATTGATAGTGCAAAAAATGAATTGGAATTGGTAGAATTCAATTTTATGGAATTGGAATTGGCATTAATTTTTTTATTGTGTACACATTCATTTCATCAAATAATATTTATTTCACTTTGGTTTTTTTCTATGGTATAAAAAAGTATGCGAGAAGTATATTTTCTTTATTCCAGCAAAAATATTGCACCAAAAATTTTTTTAATACGGAGTATAAAATATATAGTTTTAAACTCATCATATTTTAAAAATTATCATATTTATTACTCCCTCCGTCCCATGAAACATGATATGTTTTGCTTTTTGAAGAGATTTAAAGGAGTGTATTTTGGTATTGAATTTTCAAAAATATCCTTTGATGTGATGGGTAAAAGTAGAATTTGATGGGTAGATTATTAGTAAAAAGGTATGATATGATAGGTAGGGTATGAAAAAGTAAGGGGTAAAAGTAACTTTTTAATAGAAATGAGAAATATTTTATGGGACAGATGAAGAAAGAAAGGAGAAAGGTTTTATGGGACGGAGGGAGTATAATATTTATTTCATTTACATAATTTTCAATATATTCAAAAGTCCATATTTTTTAATATAAAATATATTGTTTTAAACTCATCATATTTTAAAAGTTATCATAAATAATTTTTCATAAATGATAAATGAGCACTAAAACATTCCATTTAATTTATTCATGTGTCATGTCATTTAAAATTTGCTATCAAGGCCGGCCTTGACATTTTATGGGCCTTAAGCCAATTAAAAAAATTTGACTTCTCTTACAATTTTTTTTTAAAAAAAAGAACAATATCACTTAATGAATTGAAATGGTTGAGTGTGACATATTATTATTAACTACATATATTTACTTAAAATTGAAAGCTTAAAACCCTAAACTGATTATTTTTTACAATAATATATTACTTTTACTATTAAAGAAAAATTAGTAACGGGCCCCCTTATAAAATGGGCCCTAGGCAGCAGCCCCCTATGCCTACCCTAGGGCCGGCCCTGTTTGCTATGTAATATGACATATGTCAACTTCTTAGAAACATGAGTCTCAGATATTATACTACTAGTATGCGAGAAGTATATTTTCTTTATTCCAGCAAAAATATTGCATTAAAAAAAATTTAGAATCGAAAAAAACATTTGTTCAGTCTTGTTCGTGGCACAGGTCAAAATACTATTAGTATAATATCTGAGACTCATTTTTGTGAAAGGATTTAAAGTTTAGGTACCACTTCGAAATTCCAGTGAAAGTTCAGGTACCATTACTAAAATTTACCCTCATTATTGAGATCGATGAGATTTGTAGATTGATTTTTATACTAAAAAAATACTAATCACCCTAAGAATCCATACTTATGAAATTCTTTGGAACTATTTTTTGGCTCCAATCATGCTACACTTACACCAAAAACTGTACCCCAAAGTTACATTGAAGTTATACATTAACATTGTCATGATTACACTAACACAAAATGATGGTGTAAATTACTTGACCAGTCAAACTATACTAGATCGGGTCTAGAATAGTTTGCTTGATTTGGCAAAGTAAGAAAGGTAAAAACACGCAGATTGACCGGTAGGACTTTAGGTGGAACACCTGTAGCCCAATTTATATTATAACGGAGAATGCACGGGTGCTTTTACAAGGGAGTTTAGAGAGAATGAATTCGGATCCCCTTCCTCGAGGGTTACAAGAGGTATATATACTAAGCTGGGGGAACAGGACCACGTGCGCCCACGTGGGGGCACGCTGCTGATGTGGTGCGAGATGACTGTCCCTGAGCCACCCTGTCATCTTGCGAGGGGGATTACCCCCCTTGTCGCGTTCTGGCTTGGAAATATTCCTCCAGCATTTCCACTGAGTCCCCAGCAATGCCAACCACTACAGTCGAAGTCCTTTTGGACTCTTCCTGCCGACACTTTCCAGTAATTAAAACCTGAACCGGTTGGTTCTTAAGGGTTGGATCTGCTAACTTCGAACGATGAATTAGACCCCGTCTTAGTTAGACCGGTACACTATTCGAAGTATACCGGTCAACCTTTCGGTCACTCTTTTCCCTTCCATGAACGATTCATCTCCCTCCTAAGTTTGACCTTCTTGACCGGTCAACTTATATGGGTCTGACCTTTGACCAGTCATGGGTGAAATACACCCATCAATAAGCCCCCCACTTCTCGGTTATGCAACTGTGTCATAAGCGGGAAGTAAAAATCTGAAACAGGACTTTAAATTTTGAAATTTCGGCCTTTCCCGCTCAAAACATTTGAATTCAAAATTCAAAAAGTATACGTTCTGACACGGGTGGCATGCTGGACGGCGTCAGACCCGCGTCCTTTCGTCTTCCCAGGCGTAATGATGGCGCCGCCTAACGCGACGCGCCCTAGTGAAGCCACGTCGCCTCCTTCTCCTTCCTCCTCGCCTATATAAAGGCTTCCAACCCCATTTCCTTCCTCACTTCTTCCTCACGCGTCTCCCAAGTTTCACCGGTCAATCTCCTCTCTCCTATCTTCCAGCCCTCCGAGCCAAGTAAGCTCTCTTCTCTTGTCCTCAGCTTTCCTTTTGTTCTCCATTCTTCCTTCCGGTAAATGTCTTCCTCCAACAGTCAGGATATTTCCGCCTCGGATGCCTACGCATTCGAGGAATCCCCATCTTCTTCCTCCTCCACCGGGTCATCTTCACCCGATTTTGTACACCGGTCGGTTTCCAACACCACCGCCCCTGAACCGCAACCGGTTAACCAAATGCCCGGTCAGGTTTTTCAGGAGAGGGATGATCCGGTTGATAATGAGCCCGCCCCCTATGACCCTGATAACGAGTCATATGAGGGATGGGTGAACCGGCTGGAAGCGGCCAGTTACCTTCCCCTCCTCACTGGCTACCCTCTTGACATCTATCCTCGGGTCTCTAAGATTGCTCAAAATAAAGCCCGTAGGAATCTCCCGGAGGGGTATGTTCTTGAGTACGACCCCAGTTGGCCCAACATTATCGAGCCTCACCGGGATGATAGGGTAGGTTTCCATATCATTTCTTTGGAAAGTGGCACCGTCTTCCCCCTGCGTCCCCTTTTGGTTGAGTTATGCCACTGCTTTAAGATTTTTCTTGGGCAAATTACGCCCAATGCTCATCGCTTCCTTAACGCCTTTGTGAACATCTGCGTTGAGCTTAAGATCGAACCCTCCCTCCGTCTATTTCTCTTTTTGTTTGAAGTCCTTCCCGGTAAATCGGGTTGTGACGGTTACGTCTACTTCAAAGGCCGTAACGGTCGTCAATTTATCTCCGACCTTCCACAAAGCAACCGGCAGTGGAAGGAAAAATTTGTTTTTATAAAATTCCCCACCGTTTCTCCTTTGGCCGGCATAAAGTGGAACGATCACCTCCTGAAACCGCAATACACTCAGTCGGCTAGCGCTCCAGACTTGGAAGAAAGTTTGGAGAAACTTCTACAAGGGGACACGTTCACCGGGCAAATGTTCCATTACGGGGCTTGGATTTGGAGGATCTCACTGGGTGGCACGGATACCCCCAGGGCTGATGAAGCAGTGGGGCACGGGGTACCCGCCCCGGGTAACACTGCGGAGGCTGGGGGTTGCAGTCACCCAGGTATCCTCCCTTCCTCTTCCTTCTTCTTCCTTTTATTATACCGGTCCAAGTTCAAGTACTTATATTTTCGCTTGTTTTACAGAGATAAACTTCAGAGCATTTAACATCCCGACGAAGAAGACCGGTGGTTCTTCCTCTGCCGCCCCCAAAACTGTATCAGTCCAACAGGAACCGGTGGAGATCCATTCTGACGAGGGGTCTCCTCCGACCGGGAGGACCACGGCAAACCCTCCCCTGGACAAGGGGAAGGGAAAAGTTCGGACCAAGCATGCCGCCACTACCCATCCGTCAGCGAAGAGGAGAAGGGGAGAAAACGCCCCGGCTTCAGAGTCGTTAGAGGAGCTTTGGGTCAAGATGGGGCGAAAGCTGAAAGAGGTAACATTCGCCCGGTATATTTTCTTGAATTTGCTACTTGTCTGTCGCACTAACCGGTACGTTTCGTTTTGCAGATGGGTGAGGTTGGGCTTGAAACCTTGGAGAGGCTTGCCGAGGACTCCCCTTCCCGGTCACTTCAGCTGGAGGAAAAACTGAAGAGGCTTGAAGCTCAGAACCGGGAGCTTCAAGACCTGACAACCCGGCAACTTGACGAGATGGCCAACCTCTCGGCGGTTGCCGGTAGGGCGAACGCGGAGGTCCTCCAGCTGAAAGAGGAGAACACGCTGCTGATGGGGGAGGTCTCCCACCTAAAGGAGGAGGCATGGGTGAAGGAGCAAGAGCTGCCTGGTCGGGCCAGACAGTGGATGGAGGAGAACCTGGCAGAGGCTGCCCGGGTGCTTACTTCCTCTGAGGAGAGGACGATGGAGGGCTTCAAGCTTCTGCATCGGGAGGACCATGGGAAGGAGATGATCACCCAAATCGGCTCCTATGGTTTCATGTCAGGCCAAAAAAGAGACCGGGAGGCCACCCATGCGATCCTCACTGACCGGGACCCGAACTTCGACGCTGATTCATATGGCCTGGCCCCCATCCCGGATGAAGAACCTGCACCTCCTTTTCCTCTCGAGTAATCTTCCCGGCGGCGACCGGTTGAATTGTTCTGTAAAACTTCAAACTCATTTCCCCGGGAATGCCCGGTGTAGCTGTAAAACACTTGACTTTTTTGTTCTGCTTTAATGCAATGCTTCATTTCCATACCGGTTAGTCTTCCATATCTGCTTGCTTCTTGATTGATACTTCGTTATTGCTCCTTAGAATACCATCATAGAAATTCTGACTGGTACATAAATCAGGCCACTTCTCAATTGTTTTCGATCGGTAGAACTTCAAAGTTCTCTTTGATCACGTTATCTGAAGGATCAGCTCGAGTAACTTTGACCGGTCAAACCTTAATTTTTGCTTTCTTGGCTCGTTTTTAAATACGCTAAGTCCAACCCGGTCGAACTACAGTGAACCGGTTGAACTTCAACTTTTGCCTTTTGAATGTCTTCATCATGGTGGCCAACTTAAAAACGTTTGACCGGCTGAACTTCCCTTTGGCTTTCTTGGATACCTTCGTTCGATGAAGTGGAGTATGACCGGTACGTTCCCACCTTACGATACGACCGGTCAACTGCTTTGCCTCGAAGAACTTCCGAAGTTCCGTTGTATCAATACCCAACCGGGGAACTCTTTTTTTTTAATAACCGGTAGGTTGTAGGTGGAAGCACTTGTAACCTAGTAATTTCTTGGAGTTTCCTTAACCGGTAAGAATACTGGAGAATTAACCATGTCGAATGGTTTCGAACCCTCTCCAAGGTTCAAATGCACCCTTCTTCCAGGGCCCCCTCTTCCGGGTGATTATGTCTTTTAATGGCCCTTTGATTTCTACCATCCCAGGAAGGCCTTAGCTCACCCCCCGTTCAAGTCTTCCCTGAGAAAGGGGAAACAGGATGCGCCACGGTGGACGATCCCCTTTTATTTCTTTTAACGGGCATCTTTTAGTCCCCAATCAATTTGACGGTACCGGCTGATTCCCCGATACCGTCAAACCTCATGGGCCCGTGTAAGTACGGTTCGAACCTTCTTCCAGGTCCAGCCTTCTTGCAGGCATACACTCTTCTGGGTTTTAATATTTTTTCCATTATACTGAGCAAGACCGGTGTAGTAACCAGCGTGCCAGGTCCGGGCCTGTGTCTCAGTTAGCTTATCCAAGTGGATTCGATCCACCCGGGAAGCCCTCCTAGGATAGGTTCGACCTATCAATTCTGCTGCTACCATGTAGATTATTGAACCTTAATTTGATTGATAATTGAAGTAGGCCTTGCCTAGTATTACAATCACTTGTAGAACTTGCGAAGATGATGGGAATTCCAGGTTCTTTCTACCGGTACACCATCGAGAGTTTCTAACCGGTAGGTTCCCGGGCGAATGATAGCCCTCACCTAGTAAGGTCCTTCCCAGTTTTTGGCCAGCTTTCCCCCGTCTCCCGGTCTACTAGCCTCCCTTCTCTGTAAGACTTCATCACCGACTTGGAAGTAACGCGGTCCCACCTTGTTGTCGTGGTATTTCTTCACAACTTGTTGGTATGTACTCATTCTCACTTCTGCCGCCATCCTTCGTTCCTCGACCAAGTTGAGCTCGGCGAGATGGTCTTCTTCATTTTGTTGGGGTTGATAATTTGATTCCCGGAACGTTGTGAATTCAGCTTCGATGGGCAGCCTTGCTTCACACCCATAGGTTAGGGAGAATGGAGTTTCCCCATGAGCCCTCCTGGGTGTTACTCGGAATGCCCATATGATGTGCGGGAGCTCCTCTAGCCACTTGTTTCCTGCTTCTCCCAACCGTTTCTTCAAACCATCTACAATAGTTCTGTTGGCGTTTTCAACTTGGCCATTTCCTTGGGGGTACGCCACCGAAGAGCGATTGTGCTTGATCCCGAAGCCCTCCAAGTATTCGGTAAATCTTGGATTTCAGAATTGTGGGCCGTTGTCGGTGATGAGGTTCATGGGCGCTCCAAACCTCGTGATGATGTTCTTCCAAATAAATTTCTTGTATTATTGCGTGGTAATGTTGGCCAATGCTTCGGCCTCAATCCATTTGGTGAAGTAATCGCTGGCCACGATTACGAACTTCTTCCCTCCTTGGGCGACGGGGAAGGCTCCAATGATATCCACCCCGAATCTAGCGAACGGGATGACGTTCGATACGGGGTGATAGTAGGTCGCCGGTCTACCGGGATACTTGTAGAATACTTGGCATGTTCTGCATTTCTGAACATACCTTTCACAATCCTGGACAATTGTTGGCCAGTAATACCCCAATAAGATGATGCGCTGGGAAAGCGTACGGGACATTTGATGCGCCGCGCATACACCTTCGTGGACCTCCGCTATGACTCGCTCAGCCTCCCGGTTGGTTAGACATCTCAGGAGTGGCCCCCCAAATGCCCTTTTATACAGCTTTCCATCAAGAATCTGGAATCGGGGTGCCCTGAGCTTCACTTTTCTTGCCCGGTCATCTTGTTCTGGCAAGCTTCCAACCATCAAATATTCCATCAGATCATACATCCAATGGTCGTCTGCTCCGACCAAGTTTGACCGGTCAGATTGGCATCCGGCTGTTATAGCGGCGACTTCCAATTTTTCGATGCTGGCTCGATCCAGGATCTCCACCCGGGCAAGTTTCGAAACATGCTCGGGGGCATACTGCGTCAACTTGGAGAGAAGGTCTGCATCCGCGTTCTCCGCCCGGGGAATCTGGGCGATCTTGAACTCTTCGAAGCCTTTCAACAGGGCGAGCACGAGCTCCTTGTATTGTGCCATGCGTCCTTCCCTTGCTTCTATGTTACCGGTCACTTGCCCAACAATCAGGCTAGAGTCAGATTTGATACTGACCCGGCTGATTTTCAGGGCTTGGGCAAGTCTGAGCCCTCCTGCCAGAGCTTCATATTCTGCCTCATTGTTCGTCAGCTTGAAGTTGAAGATGATTGCATGGTAGATCCTGAACCCTTCTGGGGTGGTGAACACGATACCACCCCCGTATCCTCTAGGACCGGATGCCCCATCAACTGCCATCTCCCACCATTGCTCATTGGGCTTGTTGACCGGTAGGTCTGGAGTTAGACCGGTCATTTCTACCAGGAACTCAGCAAGGACTTGTCCCTTGATTGCTGACTTTGGCCGGTACTCAATGTTGAATTGAGTTAACATCATCGCCCACTTCACCATCCTCCCGGAGGATGTTGAATTTCGCAACACTGCACCCAGCGGTTGGTCAGTCAAGACTTCCACCGGGTGAGCTTGGAAGTAGGATGTTAACTTTTTTGCAGAGATGAAAAGCGCATAGGCTGTCTTTTCCATCGCCATATACCTACTCTCAGCTCCGTTTAGTGCTTTGCTCACATAATAAATGGGCTTTTGTGCCCCATCATCTCTTATTAAAACGGATCTTTCAACATTTGGGGAAATTCCCAGGTACAGATACAGAGTTTCACCTGGTTCGGGTTTAGACAATACAATATCTAACGCTAGGTACTCTTTTAGCTCCTCAAATGCCCTCCGGCATTCTTCATCCCATGCAAATGTGTTGGCCTTCTTCAGAACTTTGAAAAAGGGCAGGGATCTCTCAGCTGACCGGGAAAGGAACCGGCTGAGGGCCGCTAGACGACCGGTCAACTTTTGAATATCCCTAACGGAGGTAGGGGCTTGCATTTCAGTGATGGCCCGGATTTTCTCTGGGTTGGGCTCTATTCCTCTATTCGTTACCATGAATCCCAAGAACTTCCCGGTACGAACCGCGAAGACGCATTTCTTAGGATTCAGCCGGAGGTTGTATTTTGCCATGATATCGAACGTGGCTCGCATATCAGCCGGGTGGTTGAGAGATACCTGGCTTTTGATCAGCATGTCGTCGACGTATGCGTCCATGGTCTTTCCCAGCAGTGGCTTGAAGAGTTTGTTCACCATGCGTTGGTAGGTTGCTCCTGAGTTCTTCAAGCCAAACGCCATTACCCGGTAGCAGTAGGTTCCTTCGGGTGTGAGGAATGATGTCTTCTCTTCATCTTCCTTGGCCATGTAGATTTGGTGGTAATCCTTGAAGGCATCCATGAAACTTAGGAGTTCGCACCCCGCAGTTTCGTCCACCATTTGATCTGGACTGGGAAGGGGGTATGAATCCATCGGACAAGCCTTGTTCAAGTCTGTATAATCCACACACATTCTCCACGTGTCGCCCTTGGGAGCAAGGACAACGTTGGCCAGCCAATCCGGGTATTTGACTTCCCGGATGTGACCAACACTGAGGAGGTCCTTCACTTCCTTCTTGACGAAGTCTCGCCGGTCACTGGCCAGGTACCGCTTCTTCTGACGTACCGGTCGACTTCCTTCCCTCACGGCCAACCGGTCGCAGATAACAGAGCGATCTATTCCTGGCATATCCGCCACGCTCCATGCAAATATGCCCGCGTATTCTTGGAGGACCCGTGTAATCTCTGCCTTGAGATCCTCAGGGAGATTTGCTCCAATTCTAACCATCCTCGAAGAATCACCCGGGTGAAGTTCGATTTCCACCGTCTCGGCCTCGGGCTCCAATTTCTCCCGAGTCTCTCCCTTTGTGATTTCTTGGGAAATGACATTGACCCCCTTGGTCATCTTCTTGACTGCCCGGGCATAGCACTCCCGGGCATTCCTCTGGTCGCCCTTCACTTCACCCACCCCGCCTGGAGTGTGGAACTTCATGCACAGGTGAGGCATGGAAATCACCGCCCCGACCTTATTGATGCCCGGTCTCCCAAGGATCGCGTTGTGGACGCATTTAATGTCCACAACGATGAACCGCATCTTCTTCCACACGGTCTTCTCGCCTGATCCTGGTTCGACCGGTAGAACTATGGACCCTTCAGCTTCAACGGTGTCTCCCGTGAAGCCTGAGAGAGGGATTTTGAAGGGTTCGAGTTATGTCCGACACAAACTGAGTTTTTGGAAAGTCTCCAGGTATAAGATGTTGACACTGCTCCCAGTGTCAACAAGTACCCGGGCGACATCCACCCCATTAATGTCCATGGTGATGACCAATGGATCATTGTGATCTTCACCGGTAGGAGGGAGATCCCGGTCGGTAAAGACGATCGGCTCCCTTCTACTATGTTTACGCCTTGGCGGTTCAGCACTTACCTCTCCAACGTAAATGCTTCGGACCCAATTCTTCCGCTGCGCGGCTGAATCTCCACCCTCAGGTCCGCCGAAGATCATGCCGATGTTCCCTTTTTCGGGAGCAGGTTGCCGCTCCCGTGGCCGGCTATTCCTCCGCCGGTCGTTGTCCTGGTCATCTCCCGAGGCAACTGGCCTAACCCACTGATGACTCTTCTCCTGGGCTTTCTGCAAGTAATCCTTGCCCAGTTCTCCACTGTCTATTATCTGCCGGATCACCCCCTTAACACTTTTGCATTCAGAGGTGTTATGGGAATCTGACCTATGGTACGAACAATAGGTGCCCAACCATTGCCGCCCTGTTTGACCGGTAGGGTTTTCCGGAAGAATGACTGGTGCTTTCCGGATTTCTTGGCATTCCTCCGTATTGACCACACGGACAACTGGGTCATAGTGGTGCCTTGGCCGGCTAGGTCCCGGGACTTCTTCCTTCTTGACTTGCACCGGCTTGGGCTTGTGACCATGCTCAGCTTCTCTCTTTGCCCGGAGTTGGGTTTCAGCCTCAGCAAACTCCCATGCAGTGTGGTAGGCCTCTTGGTACGTGGCCGGGGGTTTCCGGCAGAACTCCTTGTATAGTTCCCCAGCACGCAAGCCATTCAAGAGGAGGGATAAGACGGTCTTGTCATCCATCTTTTCCACCTTGTCTACCTCTTCCTTCCACCGGGTAAGTAACTGAGTAAGGTTCTCAGACTCTCTCTGCCCGGCTGTACTAAGATAGGTGAATTTCTTCCTCTTAGTACAATTCTCCTAGAACTTGGCCTTGAATTTTGAGCCCAAATCACTGAACGAATCAATGCTTCCCGGGTGAAGCTTATTGAACCATTCAGTGGCTCGGTTCCGCAAGGTCTGGAAGAAAACAAGGCACTTTTCTTCATCGGTGCAACCGTTCATGGTCGCACTCTGGTTGAAGGAGTCCAGATGGATTTCCGGATCTTCCTTCCCGGTGAATCTAGGGGCGTCGATCTTGACCTTTTGCGGGAAAGGTGTCAGATGGACCCTTGTGGTGAACGGGGACCCTGCCAGGGGTTTGTCCCGGTCATTCTTCTCTCCGACCTTCTTTTCCAGCCTTTCCAGTTTTGCCTCCATCTACTGGACGCGGTCATTTGGGATGGTTAACCGGTTCGCCACCGGTAACCTGGGCTGGCTTTCTGCCTCCTCTTCCTAGTGGGAGGCCCTCGTCCTCGCTGGCTCCTGCTGGTTAGACTGAGAGCGCCGGGTGTGGGCAGGCTCGGCCTCCCTCACCTCACCTAACCGGGCGAACGCGCTGACATGGGCGACGCTCTGCCCCAGCCTCTGTTTGGATGACTTTCTCTGGCCTTCCTCCCTATCCCCCAGCCTTTTGAAGGCGGAGTTTCAGGAGGTCGCTGGCCGGATGTTTTTTCCTTTCTTCTTCTTGCGGGCCCTCGGAATGTCCCACTCGCCGTCATCACTCTCAACTGAGACGCAATGACCATCAGGGGTGACTTGCGGATTCGTACCTTGCGGGGGACACGACGGCCCTGCAGCGTTTAGTGCGCCAGTCAAGTTGACAGGGGCCATGGTGCTGACCAGCTGGGGCTGGAAAGGTGATGGCTGCGGCATCGGCTTCTGGAATGGCGTCACTGCCATTTGAGCTTGTAGAGGCACGGTTCCCGCGCTTGGAAGAGCGAACGGGAACATACCAGGGAGAAAAGGCATCCCCCCATTCTGTTGGCACATGGCCATGACCTGGCCAAAGCCGTGTATAGCTTGTAGGTTGGCTGGGTCATTCATGAACTAAGTCATGCTTGGTGGGAACATGACCCTCGGTCCAGCGGAAGGGACGGGGGTCGCGAATGGGCTGATCACGCTAGGCGTTGGGACAGAGCTCAGACCCAAAGGCAACACCGGGGCTGAAATGACCGGTATGGTAGCAGCCACAGGGATGCTGGTACCCTCATTGGCGGCTTGCACCTTAGTGGAAGTAGCGTTGATTTGTAGGCTCGAAGACATTTTGAGTGGTGTTTTTGTGGGTAGGTTTTAGAAGAGAGGAAACCTTAACGGTCCCACGGTCGGCGCCAAAAATGATGGTGTAAATTACTTTACCGGTCAAACTATACTAGATCGGGTCTAGAATAGTTTGCTTGATTTGGCAAAGTAAGAAAGGTAAAAACACGCAGATTGACCGGTAGGACTTTAGGTGGAACACCTGTAGCCCAATTTATATTATAACGGAGAATGCACGGGTGCTTTTACAAGGGAGTTTAGAGAGAATGAATTCGGATCCCCTTCCTCGAGGGTTACAAGAGGTATATATACTAAGCTGGGGGGACAGGATCACGTGCGCCCACGTGGGGGCACGCTGCTGATGTGGTGCGAGATGACTGTCCCTGAGCCACCCTGTCATCTTGCGAGGGGGATTACCCCCCTTGTCGCGTTCTGGCTTGGAAATATTCCTCCAGCATCTCTACTGAGTCCCCAGCAATGCCAACCACTACAGTCCAAGTCCTTTTGGACTCTTCCTGCCGACACTTTCCAGTAATTAAAACTTGCACCGGTTGGTTCTTGAGGGTTGGATCTGCTAACTTCGAACGATGAATTAGACCCCGTCATAGTTAGACTAGTACACTATTCGAAGTATACCGGTCAACCTTTCGGTCAACTCTTTTCCCTTCCATGAACGATTCATCTCCCTTCTAAGTTTGACCTTCTTGACCGGTCAACTTATATGGGTCTGACCTTTGACCGATCATGAGTGAAATACACCCATCACAAAATAATGGTGCGTTATCAAAAATTTACATTAACATTTTGTATCTGTGTGAATTATCACCCTAGTATTACATAGATACAAAATGAAGGTGCATATCTGCGGTGTAGAAATTGAGGTAGAAGTCTTGGAGTACAAATAGCTTAATCCTTTTGGCTCACTATCCAATACAATACACCCCTTAATTTTGAACAAAGTTGGTGGAAGAGCAATGCTAGGAGTACACCAAAGGTGTACCCCAAATGTACACCACCCCCTTCTCTACCACCCATTTTTATTTTATTTTTATTTATTTATTTTTGACTTTCTTGCCTTTTTTATGTGGACAAGAAGGAAGTGGGGAACAAATGAGGTACATCTTTGGTGTACCCTAGCATTTTTCTAGGTGGAAAGTTAAAAAAAACAACCTCATTCATTTCCGAAGGTGAAAAAGTATCAAATGCACCAATGAAACAAACAAATGTATGCAACAAGGGAATTCTGATAAGAAAGAATAGGATGCTTTTTCTTTCTTTTTAACAGTACAGTTCATCAGCTTCGATCTCTATGCAGAAAATGTGTAGTCTGTGAAAGTGAATGGACAAAACTAACAACTATTCTAAATAACTGTTTGCTTTGGAAAAGCCAAATGCAGCTCTGCAGTATTTTGTTTGCTCCCTTTCTATGGTAGTATAGAGCCAATAGTAACAAGAAAAGTGTATAATTAACAAATGTTCGTACAAAAATAAATATGAATCCCTTTATTATTACTCCCTTTAGTCAACTGTCACGTCCTTGCACTCTCAAACAAAAAGAAAACACCAATCACGGAAAGGATCCAATTCGACTCGACATTTCATTGCCATCATTTTTCTCATAGGGGAGGGGTATATATAATAATAACAATAACAATGATCATTATAATTACTCCCTATAACGATCATAAAAATAAAAAAAATTTAAAAATCAAACTTTTAATATGTCAGGTTTCTAAAAAAAATTATCTAAGGTAATCTTAAGTATTTGACCGTTCTTTCAAAAATAATTTCGTCTTTTGCTTTGATGCATAATAATTTCAACTTTACTGAAATTTTTAAGTTTTGGGTCGCTGTTAAGAACCTAACAGTTGGTTAACGGATCCCTGTTTTGCGCAATAAAATAAAAATTGAGATTATTTTTTTATGAATTTTGAATTAGCATTTTTTTTAAATTTTCTATTAATTAAGTTTTTTATAAAGATTAGTGCGATTCTACAAAAGAAAAAATAAATATTAAAAATATAAAAATGATAAAAATTAACTAAAACCATAAAAAATTAATAAAATAAAAAGATAATCAATAAAACTAAGATCTAACTCATACGGAGTAAGAAATAAAGCTAAAAATAGAAATCACCGTAAATAGGACTAAATCATAGTGAAAAGTACTAAAATATGATTATGTTTTAGTACTATGTTTTTTTCCAAAGTAGGACTTCGTACTATGGTAATGTGACACTGTACATGTGCACATTACTATACTTTTTGGTAATGTACATAACCATGTTTGATAATGTAAATGCGTTTTAAGTCCTATTTCAGAATTAAAAACATGAAATTCCTATTATAGTATATTTTCAATGTTTTAGTCATACTTTGATCTTTTTTCCAACTAAAAATATACGGAGTGATTGGTTCAAACGTTTTAGGCACTATACGGGGATATAAGGATATAAGGATATTAGTGTACTCCTCCCTCACGTTGGTAAAAAGTGAAAATAAAAAAAAAAAAAATATTTTATTATTAAAACACTAAAATGGAAATAAAAATTAAACTTAACAAAATTTAATTTCATTTTAGGTATTTCATAATAATAATAATAATAATAATAATTTTTATTTCCTTGGGGTTTTAGTTAGAAAATAATTTTTTACTTTTATTTTTGACCAATAAGAATTGAAGAAGTAATACATTAATGCTCCATATAGTGCGTAACGTGTTAGAACTTTATTTTTTAGTAGATTCGGGTTAGTGTTTATTTAATACCTGATGTATTTGACATGTGGCGTGCTTATGTGGCCTTTTTTAACACTTAACATGCCACCTAATTTCTCTTATAAAATCAAAAATTGGATAAGAAATATTTAAGTAAACTTAAAAATGGAAAAAAGTCTTTCTTTTTATGATAATATGTTGTCCTAATTCTATACTTTTTTTCTCTTTATTTATTACAAAACATTTTAATTAGAAAAAATATAGTCTCTTCACCTATAAATAAATTTTATATTTCTTTATGATACATGTAAATAAATGAAGTTAGTTTGATAATATTTATTTAAATATTAACACCTAATAAAAAAATTATTGTTATGGTTTGAAATCTTTGAATAAATTTAATTATGAAATAGGAAAATTCATTTTTATAATAGTATTCTTTCCCAATTTAATATTTTTTACTCTCTTCATTTAAAATTACACTTTTAATTAATTTTAAAACTACATTAAAGTATATTTTCTTAAAAAGTACATTAAGAAATTTAAAAACAATAGATGATTGAACTATAATTGTGTTAAATTAGAAAAATATATTTTACATAATAACTTCATAGTTAGAATTAATTTTTTCTAATTTGATTTATCACTAGAGAAATTATGTTTATATTCCTTAGATGATTTATTATATAAATTAAAAAATATATTATGTTTAATTATCTTCTATTATATACTCCCTCTGTCCTAAAATTAACTTATCATTTGACTTTTCACGGTCTCCAATGCAACACTTTGACCATCAATATCTCATTTTTTATATAAATATATTTTATAAAAATTATATATTTCAAAACTATGTTACGAAATGAATCTATTGCTAATAAATTTATATGAAAATTCAATGTATTTTTTTCGTAATATACGGTCAAAGTTTAAAAAGTTTGACTACGAAAGTCAAACTGAGAAGTTAATTTTAGGACGGAGGGAGTAATAAAATTGATCAAAAAACTGTGTCACCATGAAATGCTATGTTCAAGCTAACTGTTTTTACAATTTCTACATCATTGACTGAATTTAATCTTTATATACTCCGTATATAATTTGGTAGTTGAGCTTCTAGAATAACAACATTTGGCATGCTGACTGAATATTTTTTAAACACCTCAAAAGCAATGTCATCATTGACTTCTATGTATTTTTTATGCATTTCCTTTAAGGCTATTTTTTTGAGGGATGGCCTTTACTTCTTCACGCAAGATCATATTTTCTCTGTTTCTTCTTCTGCAAAATTGATTAAAAGAATTTATGGTATTAATTGTTATAAATGCGTTACATTTATGAAATGTTCTTAAATACTACTCCCTCCGTCCCCCTGTATTTGTCCACTTTCATTTTTGCACACCATCCAATGCATTTCTTTAATCTATTTTATCTTGTAATTTGTATATTAAAAAATTATAAAAATTATATATTAATAATCTATATGTTAAGACAAATCAAACAGGATCACACATGACTATATTTAGGCTTACACATTGAGAGAATTTGATGAGTCAAAGTGCTTAGATGAACAGTTCCAAAAGTCAAATGTGGACAAATACAGGGGGACGGAGGGAGTAATTCTTATATTCTTGGTTAAAAATTAAGCATTGTATTCTCATATGATTCACGCTTTATTTATAAAAAAAATACATAGAATTTGAAAATTACTTTGTATATAAGTTATTTATTGTTAAAAGATAGAAAACTATTTAATATCTACGTGCTAAAAGATAATATTACAAATATGTAAAGGCAAATGAGTTATACATGACCCGTAATGCCTTTTTTAAAATAAGACATGCCTTATTTATATAAAAATGTAAAAAAAATAATCATCTTAGAACTTAACATTAATTTTTACATACTAGTCAGATGACACCATACGGTGAGATGAAATGCTACGGTCAGATTACGCAAAGCTCACCACTAGCCAGAGCAAAGCTCACCAAAGACATCTAGAAAGCTCACCAAACTGCCAGGCAAAGCGCACCATATTTTTTCAACACTTTGAATATTTTATTAAAAAAATAAAATCAAATGGGTACTGACTAGATTTTGACCATTAACTGCCACCTTTGACCACCTGCCGCCGC